TCGATTGGAAGAAACTCACAGACATGTACATGCTTTGCAACTTTACAGATCTTCTTTATGCACCAAGAGCTTGTAACAATCTAAAGAGAAAGGAAAAAATGAAATCGCATCATATGACCCCTTTAAATGGCTTTGATGAATTTATCTATGGGTATGTTATCTAGGGCAAGCATTTCCTACAAGGTGACCTACAATGCAGGTTCTTGTCAGATTTAATCTGTCAGCATGGAGATTATTAGGTTACGCTTATTTCACATTGGAGAAAAAGAAAGATGTTAAAGGTATAGTTAATTTAAAATGATCAATTCTGTTGTTTTGGACCCTACTGACTTTTATTGTATGGACACTGAGACATTATTCCAAATGACATTTTCATTCATTTTTATGTTCTTCAGAAGAAAAAAGTAAAACAGGTTTGGAATGACATGAAGGTGAGTAAATGATGACAGCATTTTAATTTTTGGGTGAACTATCCCTTTAAGTATTAATTTACAGAGATCTTGGTTATTGAGTGCTTTTGAATAGAGATTGATGTGCATCTTCCATTTAGTTCTTTGTCATTCATGTTGTTCCATGTTTAAAGTACATATTCCATTTTGTGATTTTTTTTTTTTTTTTTTTCCATATTTGCAAGGCAGCTTATAAAAGTACTCTTTGTGGCGGCCAACACATTATTGATCCACAATGATTTTACATAACAATTAACATCAATGGAACACTTTGAATAGAAATAAACGTGTTATTTCAAGTGGAAGTTAGTCATGTTCACAGCGTTTTCATTTAGACATCCAGCATTTCTGGCTGTAACCCTCAGGCATTGTCGAGCTATAGTGAACTATTTTCAGGACCAAAAATACCGTTATGTAAATGCCAACACTATAGTGAAAATGTACTGTACATCACACCTCTTCCACTACTACAACTGGTCTATTGAGTAGAAATTATCTAAGTAACCCGTGAAGCTTTAAGCACTAGTAGTGTTAAATTGAATCCACATGGATTACTAAAGGTCATTTTTGCATAGTCCTTGTTATACTCCCACAATTTAATTCCACCTGACCTAAATTTGACCTCCAATGACATTTTATTTTCAGTTGTGTAGTCTAGTTTTTTGAGTCACATATCGAAAGGTGCTGCTATACACCAGTATAATAATCACTCCATGGATAAAACGCGTATCTTTTCTTTAAACAGTCCTGTTAATGGATTCCATAACATCTGTTCCAGACCAGGTCAGTCCACTGTGTAGAAAGGAACCTGATTTTGCACCTTGCTTACGGATGGAATTTACCACTGAGGGACTGTTATGAAAGGATGTTCAGCTACTCCCCTACCTTTTCCACTTCCATTTTTCAATCCACTCACTTCCACCTACTGCTTCTCCTTCACTCTCTCACATCGGGTAGCCAGCCTCCCCGTGTTCTTTGCCCTTTGCCTCTGTAGAATAGGTATTTAGCAGTCAGTGGGATTTTGAACTACAGTTGGTGCCTCAAGGGAGCAGTTGTGTGCGGCAAATACTTACTGTATGAATAAATTATATGATTCCGGGGCTTCAAAGTCAATGCACTCCAAGGAAAAGCTGCTTTTTGCTGTTTCTTGGTTTCTATCTGTCTTGTTTTTGGGCATTGGTTCATCTTGGCTTGGTTGTTTGTTCAGGAAACACTAAAAAATCTGTTGGTTAATTTTCATAATTGCAGCCAGTGCTTGGCAGATCTTAGCCTGAGATATTATTATGCCCATATTTCAGCATCAGATAAGCCTGTTTAACTAAATCTTCCCGCACAGTGACGTAGACATGTGGGGGCGTGTTTAAACTAGGGGTTTTAGGAGGGCATGGACAAGTCTTAACTTTTATAAAGAATATCTCTTTGGATTTGAGACTTTAGTCTTTGCAACTTTACAGATCTTCTTTATGCACCAAGAGCTTGTAACACTCCAAAGAGAAAGGAAAAATTTAAATCGCATCATGACCCCTTTAATGAAGATAATTAAAGGCAGCCACTGTAACCATGCCATTTCACCCCACCATAACCAATTAGCAAGAGTCTTTACAGTGTTAAAACAAATGTGCCGTGCAAAGCTTTGCTTGGATAGTTTTAAAGGGAATTGTTACTTTTATTTTCTTCATAGAAGTGTTTCTGTGCCTGACGTAACTCTATGATTGTTACAATGAAATGTTCAAGGCTCAGACAGTTGTATACGCTGTCATAGACACACAATACAAATTCAACTCTCCCCTCAGGCATTAGTTTACTTTGGTACTTAGTGGTGGAGTGGTGCTGCCATCTCAGATCAGCAGGACAGAATGAGACAAGGCTTTTGAAAATAAGCTTTTTGAGGCTTAATGATGAGATAATATTCTCGTTTAGAGGAAACACAATTTGCTGCCCAGCACTGCTCTGAACCCCTCCTGTTAAGATGTATGCTGCTTGTTGCTCATTGGCCCTGATGATGTCATGGCAATCTGTTCAGCTGTGACAACTACATGAGTGCCAAAAACACAGCCGTGTTTATCAATTCATACACTGAACTATTGTTGCCTCATTAAGGTTGTGTGTTCAAGGTTATGAAGGATAAATCAGGCCATGAATTACTTAAGTAATAAACTTAAAATTTGTCCCATAATGAATAATGCATGTTGAGGAGAGGTGTTTTTAGTTTTTTGAAATTATCTGATTTATTATTTTAAATTTGCTTTATGACTATTGAAAAAACCCTATGCTTAGAAATCTGAATTGGTCAATATTGTTATGCTAAATTCCACTATTTTTAAAAGTAGATTTACCTTTGCCTTACCTGTTAATGCTCACTTAAAGTAGATCTTAATAACACTAATAATTTAATAACACTGTATGCAATCTTTAGCATATTTCAAAATAAATATCCATTTGTTATGTAGCCTAAATTAACGTGTTTTTAGTTTTTAGTGTTAGTGTTTAATCATTTGAATTTATGTGAAATCGTATGGAATTTTAATATTGGCTATTTATTGGTTATCAGCCATAACATGAAAATAATTATTGTCTTATTGGTATCAGACAGAAATTAAATATTGGTACATCTCTAAAAAAGACCTGAGCCATGTCATAACTTGGGGCTAAATTACCTAGCAACCACTCAGAACACCCTAGCAACATGCTAAAAGCTAATCTTTTAGTAATAAGTAATAAGTACCTTAATAACTGCATAGCAACACTTTCAACCACTCTACTCTACTGCAGCCACCAACACTATACTATTGTGGCAATGACTGTCAGTGCTGAACATTTCTGTTGTTCTCAGTCTGGTGCCATTTTTAAACTCGTTGGAAAAATCATTTGGAAAAACAATACTGCATTTGACATTTGACCTGTTTTATGGTGTGATATTGATTTGGCGCATTCAGACAGTCTGTGATGCTGGTGGGAGATCGCAGCTTTAGCAGCATTTATTTCGGTGTATTATTTTTCTGCTCAGAATTACCCATAATCCTCTTTATCCATCTATATTTAGGCGTTTTTGGATGATGGGCTTAGGAATTAATACATGCTTTCTAACTGCTTTTTGTGAGCCAAGTGGATCATTCATTTCTGAACAAAACTGTTTTCATTTCCCTGCTCCCTCATCATGACAGACTGTTTTCGTTCTTTGTGTAGTGATGAGGAAGAAGATTGACAATATGAGTACTTTGTGTCTCCACTGATTTTTTTTTTATTATTTAATTTAATTTAGTTTAATTTTATTTTTTTATTAAAATAAGAGCTGTCGGTCGTCATGTTCTTTATTTAGCAGTGAGAACAGTGAATTTCTTCATGTAACCAGGAGTGATCTTACTTATCAGAATTTTAATATTAATATATTTTATTTGATATAAAATATATATTTTATTTTAAAAGCAAATCATGTGCAGGAATTAGAGTTGGTCATCTGTGAGCATTGTGATATTTTAAGTGTGGTCATTATTCATGGTACATTGGTTATTGTTAAGAGGTTGGCTGTGCCAGGGGTGTATATGTGCAAACAAAATGTGTGGGAATCTGGGAAGTGCCAGTAATATGCTGAAAATGGAACTCTAACTCAAAGAAGGTATTCTTGAATACTTGACTGTCTATGTGTAAGAAATGCTATTAGATAGAGTTTTATCCACTGGAAAATTTGAACTGGAGAACAAATAGCATTGTGGCTGCATCTACAAGGGTTACATGGTACTAAATGATCTTACCAAATTTGCTGAAAATGTACTCACTCTCAGGCCATCCAAGAACAGATTTGGAGAAATTTAGCATTACATCACTTGTTCAGCAGTGGATCCTCTTCAGTGAATGGGTGCCGTCAGAATGAGAGTCTAAACAGCTGGATAAAAACATCACAATATTCCACAGGTAATCCACATGACTCCAGTCTATCAATTAACATCTTGTGAATTACTTGCTACATATTCCTACATTTCTCAAAATCTGTTCTGATGAAGAAACAAACTAATCTAAATCTTGGATGGCATGAAGGTTACTAAATTATAGAACATTTTCATTTTTGGGGAAACTTTTTCTTTAATTATTGCAAATTTGAAGTAAATTTAGTGTTTGCATTTCCTGTGCATTTTGATGCTTCTCTTAGTTGAGAAAGTGAGAGCTGAATTTGGGCAACAGAAAGGCCCTTTCATGTACCCTGCAGAGAGCAGAACTAATGTTTCACTAATGAATCTGTGATGAAGGCAGGTCTCACTATTGAAGCAGCTCTATTCATATTGACTGAGTTTAATGTGCGTATGCAGTCATGTCCTGAGGCACTATGAGCACTATATTCAATTTTACTCAATTTTTAAACAGCTTTGACAGTATTTTGAAATATTTGTTCTCGAGATTATCTTTTGGCACAGTTTCTCACAGTAACTGTATTAATTCATGCTGGCACCAACCCATTTCATAATACTGATGCTGATAGACACAGGTTATGTAACAGATTTATTTGAACTCCTATTTAAACTATTTTTATTTGTTTGTTGTGTTTCTTTGTTCCAGTGGGAGTGTTTGTGGTCCTTCATTCTCTTCTGCACTTTCTCCTTGTTACTGGTGTGGCTTTACTTCTGGTGGGAGGCTCATAATGACTACAGCGAGTTTAACTGGTGAGTGGGCCTTATACACTTTCATCAACAATCCCACAATCTCAGTTTCTCTGAAGAGATATATCTAAGAAACTCATGAGCTTTCCCAAAACAGATTTGGTATAATCCTGCGCTTAGTAATCCAGAGTTCATGGAAAGGTCTCTGATTGAACAGATTGCATGTAATTTTAATAGATAGGCTGGGCTGTTCTTGGCTAGTATTCAGAATGGAATAGCTTACTGCATACTGTGCAGTATATACTGTATGTATACGTCATACTACTTTTAGTATGCAAAACAGTATGCATTATGCAATAAATGCATAAGAGTAGTATGTTGTTATCTTAAAAGCAGTTATTTTGTATTTTGAATGCAAGTTTGTGTAAAAATGTGTTAGCTTTTGTAAGTCCAATTAAACAATGAGTCAAGAAAAAGATGTTGAAATTGAGGCCGTTGTTATTTACAGTTAATTTGTTAAACATTAAATGGAAGGTCAATTGGAGCAGAGTGGATTATGGGATTTAGGACCAAATGCAATGTTCCCTGTTGTCTATTGCTCACTTTTGTGTAGTATGTATGTAGTATACATAAAATACAGAACTAAAATATACATATATATATATATATATATATATATTACTTTAATATTAAATAATATATTAATATATTATATAATATTATAAATATAGCATTTATTCATTTATATATATATTTTATAATATATATCTGCATAATCCTGTAAAATAATAACAAACTCACAAAAACACCAACATTTACATTGTTGCGGTTTAGCTATTAAGTCACTCTCTGACATTTTTACAGTAACTGTTGATACATAATCTTCCATTTTCCAGGAGCCACATGCTCTGTAAAACTGATTGAGGACATTAAAAACAACGTGACAACGAAACCATTGTTTGCTTTGTCCCTCAAGGTCATTTTCTCCTGATCTTTTTAATTCTTTCATCTCCTGCTTTCTCTTCCTTTTCAATGTCACTTCTCTCCTCTCTTATGTGGCCTCCACCTCCCCCCGCACAGTCTCAGGGGAGGTACAGTTCTTGATGTTACTGTAGAGGACAAGAGGGTGGATTCACAACGACCTCCAGTTATTGCCCAAAGGACTGTGTGTGTAGAATCTGTGATCAGACAGGGAATGCATCTAGCAGGCAAACCCTTGATATGGCTCTACCCACTGAGCCACATTTAGCCAATCAATTCTAAAGGAGTGATTACGGGTGATCTATAATCTGCCCGCCCCATTTTTCCATTCTGATCCTAGGCTCAGAATAACATACCAACACATCACTATTGCTGCAGTATAGATGCACTTGTGTTCTATGTACTCTACTATTCAAAAGTCTGGTGTCAGTAGAAATTTTGAAATGTTTTTGAAAGAATTCTCTTGTGCTCACCAAGGCTGCATTTATTTGATTAAAAAATACAGAAAAATAGTAATACTGTGAAATATTAGTACCGTTTAAAATAACTATTTTCTGTTTTATTTATTTTAAAATGATTTTAAAATATATTTTATTACTGTGTTGGTAATTAATATTTTTGTTTCTATTCACTAGAAACAAAAATAGAAAGTTTAAAATAATGTTTTTGTAACATTATAAATGTCTTTACTGCCACTTTTAATAAATTGAATGCATCTTTGCTGAATAAAAAAATTATATAAAAAAATGAATAAGAATATGAATTAAAAAATTAAAAAAAATCTTACTGACCCAAAACTTTTTTGGGTCAGATTTTACTAATCTTATTATTCAGCCATTTATGTTTATCAAATTGGAAATTATTTGGAAAAGATTATTTTTTTTACTGTAACATTTGTCTTTTTTTTTTTTTTTACAGAATTACATAGTTATTCTTTATTGAATGCTACTCAATTTTTATCTTATTTTTTAGAATCAGAATGAGCAAGGAATTTGTACATATATATATATATGACACTGAGTACAGAAGGAAAAAACTAAAAAAAATAATAAGTTCATAATAAAAATAAATAAATAAATAATAATAATATGTCATGTGACAAACAGCATACTACTGTTTGAAACATATCGAGGGATAATATGACCTTTTACGCTCACCATTTTAATAAAATAGTAAGGAGTATACAGGATTTACTGCACATTATTCAGGAATACGCAAGCCAGTGTTCAATTCTGATCACAGCCGCTGAGTTTGGATGTTGAAGAAAGCTAATACTGTCTTTGCTGTGCCCTATGGTCTCATGTGTTTTATCTCCCTTTGTTTCAAAGATACACACTAGGCAGATGATGCTTTTTGTAAAACAGATGCCACTGTCATCCACCTCTTTTGTAAAAGTATACTTATATAATCCTGAGCTGTCATGAGAGTGAGCAAGAGAAATGTGTAGCCAGTCGAAAGATTAGTAGCTTCTGTTTGTTTTTCAGGGGCTTGGTTATTTGATTAGGCCTTAATGCAGTCTGACCATTATGGAGAATATAAGACAACCAAGAATTCTAATGCTGAAGAATCAACTGCTAACGTTTTTTTTCCGATATTGTGCTCCCACAGGTTTTTATATAACCGTTCAGGGGAGTGGAGTGATGGAACCGTTCCCATATTGGCCGCTACAGCAGCTGGTTTCACCTATATTGCATTTTTAATGGTGAGTTGTAACTGCTCTGTAGCAGTGATACTGCGCTGTGGATTTGCATACTAAAACCTCTCCAAAACCACTAGTGCTTTTAACTGTCTCTTTCAGACATGTGTGTACATGTCACCATTCAGCATTATTATGATGTTTTAGCTCCATACCCCAGTTATCACTTCATCTGAACGGTTGCTGTCATCCAGTTTTTCACTGAATGTAATATTTGTCCTTTTTTGCTCCAGATTTTAGCCCTGTGCCATGTAGCTGTCGGGCAGCAGTTAAACCTCCACTGGCTCCACAAGGTACCCGTCAACCTCTGAAATACTTTTTCCCCAGAATTTTGTCTGTTTATGCGAGACAAACCAAATTAACCTTGACACAGTGTCACAAACACCTTGTTATGTCCTGAGGCTTTCTGGCCACATTGGCAGAGTTAAAGTAGTATTTCCTGTTTGTTTATGAACAGAAATGGAGCATTGTGGATTTTCAGTGTAGTTTGCTGAATAAATGAAGTAGAATTGCATAAAATGAAGTGAAACTGAAGGAAGTGGTCTGTGTTTTTCTCTCTAGATTGGTGTGACAGCCGGTTTGCTCACTACAATAATTAGTGTGATATCGGTCACTCAATTGTGGGGAGAGGAATGGGATGTAGTTTGGATTTCTCTTCAGGTACGTTCTTTTAGATGTCTGATTTTATGGGTTCCCACAGTCCTGGATAACCTGAAAATATTTCAAAAGTCAGACATGGAGAATATTAAAATGTCAGGGAAATTTCTGTATTCATTTTTGTAGTTACACTACTGTTCAAAAGGTTGTGGTCAGTAAGATTTTTTTTTTTTTTTTCAATGAAATTTAGACTTCTTTTCAGCAAGGACACATTAAATTGATCAAAAGTGACAGTAAAGACTTTTACATTGTTACAAAAGATTTCGATTTCAAATAAATACTGTAAATGTTTTATTCCATAAGAATATTAAGTAGCACAACTGTTTTGAAGCATTGAAATGTTTCTTGAGTACCAAAAAAAGCATATTAAAATGATTTCTAAAGGCTCATGTGACACTGAATATTGGAGTAATGGCTGCTGAATAGCCATCTTTGCCTTCAGAGGAATAAATTATATTTTAAATGATGTTAAAATAGAAAACAGCTATTTTAAATTTTAATAATATGTCATAATATTACCATTTTTACTGTATTTTTGAGCAAACAAATGCAGCCTTGGTGAGCAAAGATATTTCAAAAACATTCAGAAATCTTACTCACTCCAAAATTTTAAATAGTGCTTTTTAAATTATGCCTTTAGGCTATACGTTTCTTTTGTGTGTGTGAGATCTTTTTCTATAAAGTAATTTTTCTACAGACACTTTGAGGTTCCTCCACTGTCTAGATATTTGTCTTATTCTATGTATGCTTGTGTATTTAGAACAAATGAATGACTCTGTTTTTATTCAGGCTACTGGTCCTTTCCTGCACATCGGTGCTTTGGCTGCAGTAACCGCTTTGGCCTGGCTGATGGCTGGACAGGTGGCACGAGCAGAGAAAACTAGTAAGATGAATCCAGCTCCTCACTTAAAGATCAGTCTCTCAGTTAGTCATCATTATTAACTAGATGCTAATTATTAAAGGGATACACAGAGAAATCCTCTATCCCGATACATTCCTGTCGTCACACAGAGACACGTTACTATCACCACTAGCTCAATGCGCTGGTGTTTCATGTTACAGCATTAGAGGGAAAATTAATATACTGCTATTGATTCCTCATTTCAGTTTACCCAAGCTCATCTGATTCATGTAAGCACAGATTTAACTGGCTTAACTCATTTAGTTAATCAGAAGACTTTCTCTTCATTCCTCAGGGACATACACTGGAGTCGAGGAGATTTTTGAAAGAAGTCTCTTATGCTCACCAAGACTGCACTTATTTGATTAAAAAATACAGAAAAGGCAGTAATCTTGTGAAATATTATTACAATTTAAAATAAAATGTAATTAAAAATTAAAATGTAATTTATTCCTTTAATGACAAAGTTGAATTTTTAGCAGCTGTTACTTCAGTCTTAGGTGTCGCATGACCCTTCAGAAATCATTCTAAGATGCTAATTTTGTTTGCAATAATAATTTCTTATTAAAAAGGATTTTTTTTATGAATCGAAAGTTTAAAAGAACAACAATTACTTGAAATTGAAATCTTTGTAACATTATAAAAGTCTTTACTGTCCCTTTTGATCAATTTAATGCATCCTTGCTGCATAAAAGTATTAAATAATAACAGACCCCAAACTTTTCAGTGTTGGTGTATTTTCTTAATAATTTGTAGATTTCACAAAGTAACCTCTACATTTCTCTAAGATTTAGAGAACTCCCTCGAAACATACTGTATGCAAGCATGTGAACTAAAATAGCTGTGCAAGCTCAATTCCACACATCATGAGTTCAGAAATGTGTCAGAATGCTACCAAAGATCTTTATATTTTCAGCAGTCACAAGGGAAGTTATTGCATACTTTGGCCTAAACTTCTATGCTTAACAGCAGTATAAAGAGAATCATTTGGAATCAGCACTCCTTAACTGTCGACATTTTATAGTACATGAATAATATCACATCCAATTACCTACAGCAACACTAACAATAAAAAACACATTAGGTATGTACAATGAGACCGCACAGATTAAATGTATTGGCTAAGCATTCACATCTGCATTGTATACTTGTTTCTAACCTAAAATGTCCATTTAGGCATTTTCTCTTGAAAAAAAAAGTTACTTAGACACTTAGCTTCTGCAACGAAGATGGCATAACACATGTGATCACCATTCAAACTGATTAAAAAAAGCTATTTTATAGCCATTTTAGTTTATGCCTTAAAAAGCCTTTTTTTTAAAGCTGTGCCTGAGTTGTAACTTCAGATAACTACGTTGTTGGTTCTCTAGGGTTTCAGTTGATGGTTCTCCTCGTCTACCTGAGTGTTCTCCTCACACTTTACTTCATTCCGCTGTCAATCACCTCACCCTGTATTATGGAGCGTGGGAGTCTCAAAGCAGCACCCACCATCATCGGCCATCATGGAGCTCCAATGGTGAGATGCCAAATTGTCAACATCGTACTGTGCACTTCCTGTCTTCCCTAGATGCTACATCAAGGATTGTTGGAGGCGGTTTGGTCCTTTCTCTCTCTCTCTCTCTCTCTCTCTCTCTGTGCCTCTCTCTTTCCTCTGTCTTTCCATCCCTCACTATCTTTCTCTCTTTTTCTTCCTCTCCCTCCATTTATCTTTCTCATATTTCTTTTCCCTGGCTTGTCATAGCTAAATATAACTCAGGAAAGAGCTGCTGAGAATCTCTGTGTAGGCGTTGTTCAAGGTTTGGTGGTTATGAAGGGTTTTCAATACACCCGTGTGTAACATTGCTGTATTGTGCACTGAAATGGCAAATACGCTTTTAACGTGTGCATGTCATTTCTGTTTTATAGTGGCACAGAAAAAAAAATGCAAATGTTATTGTACAGTTGTAGTCGAAATCTATATATATATATATATATATATATATATATATACTGTATATATATAATACTTTATTATTATTATTTTAGATTTATTTAGTCAAAAATGGATTTAGCTTTATCAGATGTGTTTAAAAAAAGTTGGTAATTTTCTCTAATTTTGTGGGGTTTGTGTGCGAAAAAAAATTATGTTTATTTGGTCTGTAATTCGCCTGTGAAACAAATTGACCTTATTTCCTTTGGGAAAAGCTGAAAATAAAAATTATTGAGAAAGAAAATTTATAATAACATCTCATCATTCTTAAGGGTGGCTTGTTAGCAGTAGTGTTATGTAACATTTCAGTTAGCCTATTGAAGAACTTACAGTAATTGTCCTCTGCCACTCCTAACTACAGCTGTAAACAGTCAAACTTGGGTTGAAAACACAAGCCTTTACAACACCGCAGGCGCTGGTTGGAGATCATAGCTGTAGTATCAACCACCACGGCTTTAAAAGCCAGAATTAAAAAATGAGAGTCATAACCATAAGTGCTCTCCAAAGACACATGCATACTGATCTTAATATATTCCTCTCCTCATTCTCTTGGGCTTCAAAAGAAGCGTCCTTCATTTTGCATTGATGTCACATGCACTAGTACATCTAGACCCGCAGTGTGCAGATGATCTCAAGTTGCTGCTTGCATGCCTTTGCATAAGCATGAACCACAGAGGAGCTGTATATTGTGCATGTGTCTGGCCCTCAAGCACTCAGTGAACCTCCATGAGATGAGTTATTGATTTATATCCAAAGAACAACGAAGAGGTTTAGCTACTGCTTAGCTCTAGGTTGAGAAGAGTCTCACATTTCGGTTTAAAAAAGATCTTTCCATTCTGAACTCCACGGGGTTCAAATATGCAGTACTTTTTACTCTTCCGTTTCCATCTTTTTCCTTTTTTTTTTTTTGGTTGCATCATGCTTGAAGGAGATAAAGAGTCCAGTTACACACCTGAATATATGTATATATATATATGTGTGTGTATGTGTGTGTGTGTGCGTGTGTGTGTGTATATGTATATATATATAT